CCAGGAATCTTAGACATGAAAGCTTAGTGCAACCAGCCCATCCATCTCTCCTTGCCGAGTGACAGCTGAAGCCAGTTGCCCAGGACCCTCAGGGAAGGGACCCAGCCTCAAAGGCCCCCCCTTTTGGATTGTTTTCCTTTTGTGACGGAGACCATGGTGAGGCCAGGCTGGGAGCCCGGGCTGTTTGTTCACGCACCAAGCAGGCAATCAGGAGTATACCCTGTTATCTTGGAGGTCTGCTGGGACCCCTACTTTCAGGGCTTTGCAGCATGTCAGCCGGCACCCCGTGAAGTGGGCCTTGTGTTGGGTGAGATAGGTGACTCCTGTGTCCCAGGATGGGGCTTGCCCAAGGCCACGGAGTGGGAAGGAGCCAGCAGGGTCAGCCCTTCTCCAATGAGTCTGCCTGAGGGCACGACGCCTGGGTCCTGGCCTCAGCTCTTCCTTGTCTTGCTGGTACCTGCCACAGGCCCCAGTTTTCACATCTCTATACTGGGGAGTCAGACTGGCTAACCTCAAGGCGCAGAGACTGGAGGGAAAGGCCCCAGCACTCTCCTCCTCCTTGCTGCCCTCCAGGTGTCTCCAGCTGCTCATTGGTCAGATGCTCCCGGCCTGTCCCCTTGCCTCCCACACCCTGTGAGCCAAGGATGCCCAGGGCCCCAGGGGCTGGTGGCCAGGGTGGATGGCAGCCCCCAGCAGTCTGGACAGCCCCAGGGACCAGGGATGCAGTGCCCAGTGGGAATTCCTCTGCTACTTACATACATAAAGCCTGGAAAACTACAGCATTGACACCTCCACCCTGCTGGGCCACTCATGGCTGGCCCTTTTTAACAGTGACCCAAAACAAGGCCCCCCTGAAGTCAAATTTACAGTGGGGTGAAATGCCCATCAATACCTGAGTCCCCTGCAAATGGTGTCCCCAGATGGTTCTGCAACTGCCCCTTTCCCTACCCTTCAAAACCCGGGATGAGCTGGCCCCCACTGCAGCTACTTGCCACCAAAGCCATGACTTGACGCCCACCAGCACGCGGCCCTGGCGCCCAAGCACAACAGGCTGTGGGGTCAGTGACTGTAGTCTGAGGGCACCGCTGTGGAACCCGGCATGACCCTAGGGCTGATGAGAGAATGGAATTCTCAGCCCCCTCACAGGCCCCACTCACAGACAGGAAGCCAGGCAGACGTACTCAGGGACTCAGGACTGCAGATGGTGCTTAGTGGACATGCCAGGTAGGCCATGGTTCAAGCTGCAGCACCCCACTTCCAAGCTGTGGGACCCACAGCACGCCACACAGCTCTCCTGAGCCTCAGCATCCTCTCTCCTGAGGACGTGCATGGTCCGCCTCCCAGTCTGGTGTGACCTCCTGTGAGACAACAAGCCCAGGCCGTGGCTCAGGGGACCCTCCATAACCTTGGTGGTGTCAACAAGGTTGCAGACGCCAAATGGCTTGTGCTGCAAAGTGGAGGAACCACATCACCTTCCAGTACCTGATGGCTTGCCAAGTTGCTTAGGACACCTGATGAAGCTTCACTGGCCAGCGGGGGCTGGGAGAGGGGAGAGTCTGACCTCCACTTGAGATCCAGGGCCCGAGGGGTCTTGGAGGTGGAGGTTGAGCCCTGGCCCTACTCAGTGCTGGGCTCCGTTCTTCCCTCAATAAAACCCAGAGCAGTGGAGGGAAGAGACAGACATTCAGGAACCTTCCGGATCAGATATTCTGGGCTTCCAACTCCCCAAGTGTACAGTCCGAGCTAACATTTTAGGAGGTGGCCTGCTCCCTGGAGACAGCAGCACTACCCCCATGGCACATCCAAGCTTAGTGCTGAGTGGTCGCAAGGCATGAACACTCATAGTGTAACATACGCATCCAAATCCGCCCAGGTCGAGGACTGATGCAAATACAGACACCGTTCTGCAAGACACTGTCATTTTCTTTCCCGAGACACATAAAGCTCTGTGGACTTCCAAGCCTAGCCATGACTATTCTTAGTGCACGGGGATCCAAAATTAAAACAGAGGAAGCGCCAGCTCCCTTGGTGGTTTGGGAACTTCCCTGAATATAAGGTTCCAGCCACAAAAATCCCACGCCAGGAACGACACCAAGTAGATGATGATGGAGGAAGGACGGCTTATGCAATCCTGGAGCCAGGTGCACCCACAGGCAAGAGGAACTGCTGCGTCCTCTTCGTGCTCCCAAAACCGCCTTGGCCCTTCTCAGAAGGAGCATGTCTCAGAGCTCCCCTCCCACATGGACAGACAGGTCTCCAGTGAAAACAGGAGTTGGCATGTTTAAGACAAAGAAGTGAAGGAACACAAGCCCCACCAGAATTCCTTCACCAAGAGGCCCAGGTACATCTGCTTTGTGCCCCAGAGTATCCACGGCAGCACAGGAGCCCCTGGCACACAGAGGGTGCTCAATTAATGCTCAATAAGTGCATGAATGAGGAACTCACCAAGAGCGGAACCTGATTAAAGAGCCGCCTCAAAGACTGTGCTGAATGATCCCTACCCGAGGCATGAAAGAGCCAGGACCAGGACACGTTCTCCCTACTGCCCCCTGGCCGGCAAACCCTTGATTCCCATCTGGATGCCAGGACTCGTTTTCCAAGCCCTCACCATGACTGCACTCACAGGACCCTGTCCCAAACCATCCTCTGGGGACCTTCCACAGGCCTCCTCTGCAGGCATCCCTGAACCACAGCTCCCGCCTTGGAAATCACATCTGCTGAGGCTGGCCTTCGGGGAGACGGCCAAGCCCCCCCAGAGGACACCACAGCAGAGGCCAAGCTGTCCAGCTCCAGCCACAGATGGTGGGCTGGTCTTGGGCATGGAGTAAATGGTAGTAAATGGCCCCTGAAATGGGGCCATCCCTAGGGAGGGAGAGTTGAGAGGCCAAATGTCTCCCAGGTAC